TTGCCGCTGCATCTAGTCAAAAAATTAAATCCTTTCCGACCCATCTCTGACAGAGCGAAATGTAGCCGACAGCCTCGCACGATTGGTTGCCTAGATACAGAACAGCTTCACTTGAAGTGATTGTTAATCGTGCCTCGGAAGCAAAACCGCATCTAGAGTTCCAATAATGTACGGAATCAACTGAAAATCATCGCCATGTTAGTAACGATGGAAATTTCGAGAATTTCATCCTTTGAGTGCTATAGGAAATTGTAAACAAAGGACCCCGTCAGCTGCCTCCACCATGTCAACAGTTTTCTCTATGTGAAAAAGTCTATCATATTTAAGACAGTTCTGAATTAAAACCCTCTTTCACCATTCTCTGCATTTCAAACTGTTATGCACAGTAAACCGTGAACTGGATTGTGCCACAAGCTTTGTCTTTAACCCCTTTTACATTAATATTGATACCATCTTTCAGTGTTTTGAATTAGCTTTATGACGTCATAATGAAGTAGGCGTTCTCTTGAAGCTTTCTTTAGCTCAAGTATTTTCTCTTGCAAATCACATTAAGGTATTAAAGTATACATAAGATCTTCGGTAGACTGTCTGCGATATGTTTCTAACAATTTTTTTGCATAATAACTCATCAAATTATTGCTTAGGCTGCTTGACACTTCTAGATGTTTCTTGAAATCGTGGATTTTCGAGAAGTTTCTTGAAAACTTCAGTTTCATGAAATGTTTTTACAGCGGACTTTTACATTCATACATCAAAATGCTAAAATTGGAAATATATTCATTAAAAATCTTCAAACTGGCTCTTTCTGCTAGAAATAATTGCATTACAATAATGTTTTCATCAATAGAGGCAATAAGAAATACTTTGAGAAGCCTCGAGTACACGGGAAGGGACCTTTGAATGATATTTTTTTGTCATTTCAATAAATGATTTCTTTAATGAAGACTTTAAATTCATAATAAAGAAGAAGAATTTTTGAAGAGAATTACAGAATTTTACGCTTCTTCGTATGCTATGAAGTTTGATACTGGCTTGTTCATGCTTTGAAATATGTCTGGCCTGTTTTCTACAAAGAACTATCCCATGTGATGTCCTTCAAACTTCGCAATTTTAATCGTGTGCCCGTTTCTTCAATTTTTCTCATTCTGTCATTTTTTGTTTTTTTTTTCCTAAAAGATTACTAGATAAAAGTCAGTTTAATTAACTTTATCTCGGTTTTATAGTCATGGCATCAATTAAGGGGGAAGTAATGGGAAAAATTAAGAGTGGAAGAAAAAGCCTTGGTAAGCAGTCTCAGAAAACGGTGTGGAGGAATGGCAATAGCTGAAAATAATGCAAAGGATAACAAAAATTGTTTTCATCTGAATGGTTCCAACGGCTTCAATGGGGCTCTGGCATTAAAGATCTCAATTGTTACCCTTCCATCTGTGGGCTGTTTTCACGTACTTAACACAAGGTTTCTTTACAATATTGCTTTTGATTCTTCTGTATGATAGCTATGAATCAAGACAAGTTTACTGCTTTTAGTTTTAGTTCATTTGTCTACATTTAGCATATTATAACCCCTCTTGCTTTCATAACTTAAATAAGTCTACGGTAGATTATTGGCAGAAACTTAAGTGCGAGGAAAGGTTTTAATGCTACTGAATGCAATCATCGTATGCCAGTCTTCTGTCAAGTTAAAATAAAAATGTTGATTCGGATATTAACATGTTGTGAATACGACTTTCACAGTCATCAACAGATGATCGGCACTGTTAGTAGGCTGTCTTAAACATAATAAAACATAAATCTGCTTATTCAAAAAACCCATCATTTCTTCGGAAGATTGAAATCCTAACTGCGATTCGTGATGTAAATTATGAAGGATATGGCTTATGATTGTTGTAGCTTTAATCTTTTATAAAAGAGATATCGCCTTGTTTATTCCTGCATATCATGTTTGTTATTATAATAAAAACAAGGTTTAATTTCAGCTATTGACTTTTCAACTGTATCTGTTTATGTCAATTTGTTTATCTTATTTCTCGTATCATCTTATATACCCATTTTTGTATTACTTATAAATCCTGGATATTTGCTGCAAAAGTCTCAGTAAGGAGAAATGAAGCTACTAGTAATTGAATTTCATCTGGTATTACGATAAAACCTAAACTTTCTCTGTCATTGAAGACTCTTTCGGCCTAAGACTGCTTGTAGCCAAAAGTGGCCTATTGATACGTTCAACAATGCTATCAGCCCATTCTCTATCGATAACAACACTACACTTCTATGATCTCCACTGTTAATCTTATTTTGGTACAAATCTCACATTATATATACCATGATTAAATAAAGTGAAAAAATTGCGCTTATTTTGAAATGTTTATTTCAGCATGTAGCAAAACGTTCAGCGCTTTAATCCATATTTAGAGTAAAAATCAGCCACGGTTTTAATCCTGGAGAAGGCATGAAATTTACGTCTGCTCAGGTGTGTTAAAAGCGAATCTATCTCTGTAAATCTAGAGAAAGCACTTGGGCGTTGACTTGAATTAATCTACTCAGGGAATAACCAGAGCGTAAGCCGGTGTAATAAGTTAATGCAAATTGAATTTATCTCTATGTAATTCCAAAAGCAAGCCAATATAAATATTAATATATTATTCCAACATTTATTAAAAGCGGTTTTATTATTACATTGAAATGATTTCTACTAATAAGTTTGTGTAAACAAATCCTCCTCTGCATTGTGAATGTCAATCATTGAAACTATGGCACAAATTATTCCTCCCATATCGCAAATATCTAACCACATTGTGTTGATCGCCTTAATACTAAGCGTGCACAACCTAAGTAGTTAATCCTTAAAATAATTTTAAGGTTCACCAAGATTAGGCCAAACTACGCGCATGTATGCGAATCATAGAGAGTCAGCAGTCCTTCACATAATCGTCTCCAATCGTGGCTTTTCAATTCGGCCGATTTTCCTTGCCACGCTGAGTATCTCGCTGCATATCTTAGCCGCTAGCTGTTCGCCTTTGAAAACTCTGACACAGGTCATTTCTCCTAATGTTTTGTCTCTATTTTCTAAAGCTTCAAGGGGCAACGTTTAAGAGACTGAGGCTCAATAAACCACCAGCCCAGCAGATTCTGCCAGTTGTTGTTGTTGTTCATGGTTCTCGGTTTTTTTCCTGTTTAGTTTGCCACTGTTTTGATTCATTCAGAATGGTGACAACGTGGCGTAGAGATTACTGGGAACCCTAGCTAGACAATACGACCATCTTCAAAACGTACTATGCAATACTCTTATTTTTAGACGAAAATATAAGAAGCTTGAGTTTTTGTATATCCCTAGTTTTATATTGCTTTTTCGTTACGTCCCACTCTGTTACAGTGCCAAAAGTGATCTTATAATGTCCTATGATAATACAATTCCTTTCTTCTACCTTGTATGATGCTACATAAATTGCAAAGTAAAAGTCTATATTTAGGGGGGGGGGGGATGTTGGACAGCGACATCATAATCGGCCCATTGTTATTGCTAAGCTGAAACTTGAATTAGTCATTATCGTCATTACCAGAAAATATCGTCATTACCTGGAAATTAACCCTATACTAAAAGAGTGGTTAAAACAGCGTAAGGATTTGCTAATAGCTTACTAGTATTTGTCTAATGAAAGCTACTGTTCACCGGTCAGGCAACTTTGCTGGTGCGATCATAAGACAACATTCTGAAACATACAGTTGCCTGCTGATGGGATTAAGCGTGAAACTCAGAGAAGCAACTTAGAACCGTCCTGTTCCATACACCGAATAGATGTTCATCTACAAAATCGAGCCTCGATCAACAAGACGATATGTATAGTTTTGGCACAAAATGCAATCATACAGCAACAGTAGTTACAGGCACAGTCAATGCAAAAATCAATTCAATCTGCTTTAGGTAGGGCAGGGGAGTTATGGTAGAAGTTTCTTCCTTTCTTGAGAAGCTGTGGGCAAAGTATGCAATCATTTTTTGGTGGGACAGAACTTAAAGTGGCTTTGAAAAGCAAACATTTTTAAACATGCCAGTTGGCCTATTTCGATCCGCAACAATGTATACATATTTTTCTAGCCTTGAGATTTAGACACATGTTCTAACGTATTATACTATGAAGACTGTCAGACGTAAAAACTTCAGAATGTTTCAAAATATTTGTTTTTTTTACTAAAAAAGCAATATCAGCCAAGATAAAACTGCTATTTTTCTTCATTAAAATCTTTCTTTTTGTCAAAAACGTTGCCACGCAATTATCTCTAGCTTATGGTTTGAAGTTCTAAACAAGAAAGAAATTGCGATAGTTTTACAGTAACGGACATTAGTATTTTTCCAATTCTAGCTATAGGTTACTCGATAGGCTACTCGATAGGTTACTCGAGTACGGTACGTTCTTCCCTTAATTGACACATGCATTTCATTATTTCGTTGCTGAAAAATTTATTCTAAAGATAAGTTTCTACTTCGTTCATCGAGTATTTATAATTAGTTACTACATGGAGAATCTATGACAACGATAAATATGTGATATCTGTCAGGGGAGATTTCATAAGAACCATTATTTGTTTATAATGTTGTAATTGTTATTGATATATAAGATAAATTTACCAAACCGTCGCTGCATAATTGAGCATTGTTGACACCAACAAATGGAGCATTTCCAACTGCAAACCTTTTTTCATGTACATGAAAATAGATTATAGATAAAAATTAAATATGGAAACTATTAAATGTTAATACTAAAGGCCCTTTAACTCTGAAAGGCATCAAAATATGATATCTCACTAAAATCAGCATACAGGATTTGAATTTTATTTGCAAAGTGACATATTGTTTGTGAAAATGTTTGGAATTGTCAACAGGCATGTGTTAAATTTATATTTCTTAATTATTTTCCATCATTTCTTTGTGTGTGCCTGACAAGTATTTTTTCAACAGCCAGATGCCATCTTTCTACATTTAAGAGATATTTTTTCTATTCTAGGTTTTATGAGATTTAAATGTCGAAGGTTGCAGCTTTGAGTTCAGGAAATTATGAGGTCTTGTAGTCCACCTTATCCTCCAGGCAGTGTAAGTATGAAAAAAATCAACACAATCTTCAAGTTTAAAATTTCAGAATTTTATAAATTTATTCAAACAAGATATGCATGTTTGCAGTGGGGCTTTCGTAATATGAGACGAACATGCCCCTAAAATAAGCAGGAGGTGCAGTATAACTAGCCAGAAATCCCACTATAGTGCTTATTAATAATTGTTCTTTTGCCCCTCCAGCCACTGCTACCACGAGCCATGCCTGGGAAGCAACCTTGCTATGTCACACAAGAAAGTAATGCCTCAGGCTTTGAATGATCTAAAGATCTTTACAAAAACATTTTACATCAAAAACTGTCTTTAAACAATTTATTTTTATTTTGTATCATATCGTAATAGTGCTGGTATTTTTTAAAAAGAAAGTGTACACCTAGTGTACACTTATGTTACACCTATGTGCTTCAACGTGACTTTTTACGGGGGTCGATATATTATTAAAAGGAAAGACTATGAAGGTGCAAAGGTTGTGAAGAGACATGTTTTGTCAAAATTCGACCAAATTCGATTCAATGTGATTAGAGACCAAAAGAATTCGAGAAAATTGCTTAAAAATAGCTTTCCAAGGAAAACGAAGACTTTGCAATTGAGTCATGTTTTGCACACTTGACAAAATTGCTCAAATAGTGGAATAGAATTAATAGAATCAATTCTATGAATAGATTTAATATGATCAGGAACTGCTAAAGATCATGAAATATTGCTTAGGGGCAAAGTTTGTTTTAATAAAATACGATGGTCGAGTCGATATTTTGAAAACAGGCAAGCCTATAGAAAACATGCAAGAAAGCAGACAACCAAATTTGCCACTTTTTAAAGACCAGAAACCGACTATGAAGGATTCAATATAATCATGAAGTACTTATAGTCAACAATAATAAATACTAAAGGAGCACAGCATTCTTAACTAAAACTCAATCTTTTAGAGGAATGAGTCGAAAATTTTTTTTAGTATTTTGTGTTCGAAACTGACTTTGTAGAAGAGTCTGAGTTGCGAAAAAAGGTAAGCCTATAGGCTTACAAAAATATTCTTTTTTTAGGAGGTCAACTTTTTGGTTTAAATCAACCTAATTCCATTATATATGGCCAGGAACTATTAAAAAAAGAAATACTCTTAGGGTTATTTGAAGAAAATTGCGCCTTTTTAGAGAAGACCATTTTTCAAAAAGAAGCAGTATTAAAGATGATCAGGAGCTACTAAAAATGAAGAAAGACTCCAAGGGCGCACTATAATTTGAAGAAATATGCGACATTTTAGAAAAAACCATTTTTCGAAAAAAGGCAAGTTTATAGGCTTACCGAAATTGCAAATTTTTGAAGGTAAACTTTTTGGTCTAAAACCGACCCAAAACTATTAAATATGATCGAAAACTGCTAAAAATGAAGAATGATACCAAGGGCATTGAATTATTTGAAAAGAGTTGCGACTTTTTAGAGACGACCTTTTTAATACGGCAAGTCCATAGGCTTACCAAAATTGCCAATTTTTAACGGTCAACTTTATGGTTTAAAATCGACTACTTCAAATGAGAAAGATACTTCATGGGCACTGCAGTATTTGAAGAAAATCGATATGTTTTAGAGACGACCATTTTTCGAAAGAGGCAAGTTTATAGGCTTACCAAAATTGCCAATTTTCGAAGTTCAACATTTTTTGCTTAAAACCGACCCAAAATGATTAAATATGATAAGGAACTGCTAAAAAAATGAAGAGAGACTCCAACAACACTCAATTTTTTTAGAAAATTGTGTCGTTTTAGAAAACACAATTTTTCGAAAAAAGGCAAGTCTTTGATTCGGTAAATCACTTTCTGTATCATTTTTTTTCATTTTGGAAGTGTAAACATGGCCTTCTCGAGACAAGAAACTGCACATTACTGTTTAAGAAATAAAATTCTCCCAATCATAACAACACATTCTTCTGTCATTCACAACTATGTGCAATCTGAAACGAAAGGTTACCGTTTCTTTTCTTCACCAAGGTCTACTACTACAATTTTAGCATGACATTCCACCTCCCTATTTTTGCCAATAATCAGTTTTTTTAGCATTGTAGTTATTTGCTAAACGTTAGCCTGGGAGATGCTTTTTAGCCCTTTTACAAGGTATAATTTCAAAAATTTTCTGCACGTCGGACCCAACAATGGTTGGCCTTCCTACCTCACTAAACTTGATTGTTAGCCCTCCTGGGCTCAATTTTGTCTCACCGTCCACACCATGTACCAAAAATCATATGCCATGAGATACAAGCTTTATTATCAAGGAAAATTAAATTTGACCTTTGATTTACGCTCACGTTAAACAGGCAAAATGGCGTCAACATTGAAATTTGCAGCGTGCTATCTATATCTGATTTTTTGCACGTTGTTGTTTTGTGCTGGTCCAGGAAATTTCAGGGTAAAATCAAATCGTGGCATCAAAAAAAGTCAGTACATGTTGTCAAAGTGTAAATAGCTCAAACGATGCTGAAGATTCGAATGGACTTGTTGCAGCAATCACCGCCAAAATGAACGAAGGATTTAGGCCTAGGCATAATGCAGATCGGCCAGACAAAAGGATGTTCTTTTGTTCGAGAGTAAACATCTATGCAGGAACTGACAGCCCCACGTTTCAATGTTTAACTGACAGCACAGTGTTAATGCAATTATCTGGAGATGTTAAATTAAATCCTGGCCCTATCAAGCAACCTTGCTTGATGCGCAAAAAGACAGTGGCTGTAAACCACAGGGCCTTGACGTGTGACAGTTTTGAACTTCGGTGCCATACTAAGTATGGGAAAGTACAACATTGACAGATTATGCAACAACAGATACACGCTGTCAAACATCTGGCCAATATATAGAGCCAGACCGGACAGACTTGCTCCAAGGAGCATTTGGAGGATTTGAAAATGATCTAAAAATTTGTTACATTAAAATGTGCCCACTATTGGGTTCAAAAGAGCTAATAGAACATTTTCTAGAGTTTCCAATGTGGACATGTTATTAGTTACTGAAACGTGGCTCAAGCCAATTGTGACTAATTCCGCTATAGAGTTTGAAGGTTTTAAATAAATAAGGATGATCATGGAAGTGACAAGCAAGAAATCTGGGATTGGTATGATCATTTACTACAAATATTGGCTAAATGTCACAAAATCTGAACAGCTTTCTACATAAGCTACAAAGGACAACCTAATTGAACAGTCATGGGTACAACTAATAATAGGAAAAGCTAATCCATTACTATTTGCTGCTGTTTACAGCTGATGCAGGTTTGTCATCCCTAAATTAAGTACAAGACTCTGTTGAGTTGGAAAGTTCCCAGAACTTAAATTTTTATGTACTGGGGGACTTGAATTGCAACTTACTGAAAGAAAATCAAGACGAAGCTAAATACCTAAATAGCATTATTGAATCATATGGTTTGAAACAAGTTATAGATGAGCCAACAAAATAAAACTGAAACCATGACTGTTGTAAATTTTTCACCTGAGCCAAATGAAATTCTTGAATATGCACAACAGCTTAAGTGATCATGCATTGTTTATTGCATTATACCAACCAAGATGCCAAAGGCAGTGTACAATTATGCACGCTCATTTCGTTACGTAAACTTAAAGAAGTATAAAGAGGATCTTTTAAATGCTTATTTCAAAGAAATTTAAAAAAAACAAATATCACTGATGCTGTGATTTGCTGGAATAAGACATTCCTTGACATCTTAGACAAGCATGCACCACTTAAAAATGTAAAGATTAAGAAAATATCAAAACCATGGTTTAACTATTCACTAAAAAAATGGATGAATCGCAGAGACCAACTGCAAAGAAAGGCGAAAATATCAGGCCTAGCCAGTGACTGGGAAATTTACAAAACCTGGAAAGCCAAAGTAAAAAAAGCGGTAAAAAATACCAAAGATGCCTTTTTCTCAAACCTGATAAACGAAAACGTACATGACCCTAAACAGTTATGGAAAACAATCTCCAGAATACTACCCAAGAAGAAACAAACTAACCTTAAATCATACTCAAACAAAAGAACTCTTGCAAATGAGTTTAACAATCACTTTGCATGCATTGATACAAAAACGCAAAGTCAATCTAGAAAGGCCAAGAAGAGCCTCATAACTCATTTTCCTAATCAAACAAATACGTTTTCATTTAATACACTCTCTACAAAGGATGTCATCAAGATAGTATCATGTATGCCATGAAATATAGCAAGTGACATAGATAGTATATGTGTGAGGTCTTTAAAACCAGTTATAGAAATAGTTGCACCATCAGTTGCACAGCTAATGAACTTATCCTTAGCAACAGGGGAAGTTCCAGTAGTGTGGAAAACTACAGTCATTTCTCCTATCTTCAAAAATGGATCCAAATACGGCATTGCTAATTACAGGCCTATTTCACTACTTTTATTGCTCAAGATACTAGAGAAAGCTGTCTGTTTTCAGATTATGAAGTATCTTGAGAGTAACAGTCTAATTAGTAAGAACTTTTCTGGGTATAGAGGATTTCATTCCACAACAACTGCCTTAATTAAGATCACAGATGACATTCTAAGAAATATAGAAAGAGGTCTTGTTACATCACTTATACTCACAGACCTTAGTAAAGCTTTTGATACAGTTGACCACAACAAATTGCTTATCAAACTCTCAATGTACGGTTTTGATTACCTTTCAGGTTTCTGGTTCAAACGTTATTTAAGATGTGGAATTCAACATGTTAAGGTGGATGGCAAACTTTCTAACGAATCACACTTGCAATGTGGTGTTCCTCAAGAATCTGTTCTAAGTCCAGTTCTTTTTATGATTTATCTCAACGACTTACAATTAGCACTTGCAGAAAATACAAGACCTTCACCATTTCCAAACCATCTCCATGGATCTGATTTCTGCAGCACGTAAGCAGATCTAAGATGATCTACATATTCTGATAGAGTGGCTTACTGAAACTAAATTGAAAGCCAATCCAGACAGGTTTAAGTACATGCTGATAGGTACAGCAGCCATGCTAAAGAAAATTCCTAGAGAGTTTTCTAAACTTGAGATTGACAACAACATTTTGGTCAGGGCAGAAGTAGCAAAAATGATTTGTACACATAGTAAATCAGATTACCAAATGCTTGCAAGTAAACACTCCACAATCTCTAACTGCAACTCTAACAATAACTAGCAACGCTCATAAATATTGTACACGAAGTCCAACGAGTTACCCTTACAATCAGCTAAAACTAGCAGCATGGAGAGAAAATTTCAGTACATGGGATCTGTGGATGTCAATTCTCTGCCTACCTTAGCTCAGCGTACAACTAATAGAAATAGATTTTTAGCCCAAGTTAATTCCTTATTTTGACACTTTTTCATACTAACTATTCTCTTTATCCCAAAAGTTATAAGGTTTTGTGTTGTAGGGGTTCGAGGTTCATTGCTATTATATAACAATCTTATCATTTGTATTTTTTAAAAAAAATTTCAATGCGTTATTTTATTTTATTCAATACGTTATAAAAAACAATTCAAAGGGATAGTGTGTTATTATCATATCATATCATATCATATCATATATCATATATCATATATCATATATCGTATATCATAAATCATATATCATATATCATATATCATATATCATATATCATATATCATATATCATATATCATATCTTATCATATCAATCATATCACCAAGAGAAATAGATATTTCATCGGTAATTAAGTTTCAAGTTTGTCTTTATTGCTTAGAAGTTTGTCCTTAGTAAGGACATATGTATAGTAGTAGAGCTTTCACTAGTAACCTATAGACAAATCTTTGCTTCGCGGTCTGCAGGGCACGACTCAGTTTTGCAAGGCAGAAACCCTTTTCATCCAACCACCCCCCCCCCCACCCTCCAAAAAATCTATTGGCCAAGTTACGCCCCTGACTGGATTACTTACCTCTACATCTAGATAAAAGTTTTATTCAGAATATATTTAAGTTGGCCTCATGTCTCAAAAGTATGTAAAAAAGTTTTAAATGACAGTTGAAACAGGGGACGCTTTACCTCTTCTTGCTTCCAAAATTGTTATGACCTGTCAGGAGCGTTGTGGCTAGGCGGGACACCGGGAGATTTCCTGGTGGGCGCCTTTCAAGAAACTTTGTAGTTTAAGAGAAGTTCAAGTGTAGTCCTTTTCTTCCAAGATGTTTGCTTGTGACGTTGTTCTTTTTATCTTCCCTCCTATTAATTTCAGAGACTACGATTTCACAGACAACAAAGTCCAATGGGACAATGGGATCGCATATTGAGCAAGTCAAGGCTAAGGTACTCCGAGTTCTCGGTCTTATTAAGCATGCCAAGAAATTTCTTTCATCAGGGGTTTTGCAGAAAATGTATAGAGGAATTGTTGAGCCACATTTCAGTTATTGCTGCTCGGTTTGGGGTTGTTGTAGTGAAACCAAACTCAATTCTCTCCAATAAAACCAGAATATAGCTGCAAGAATAACCAGAAATAGTCCTTTCGATGCTCCTGCTGTCCCTCTGCTCCAAAATCTTGGCTGGCCCTCGATCAGAGATCTTATCAAAAAAAGAAACAGCAACGTTGACCGATAAGGCATTGAAGCCACTTGTTCCTCAATATTTAGGGAAACTTTTCAGCAAATGCTCAGATGGCAGTGTTCGCAATCTTCGCTCTACTGAAACAAACTTGCAGATACCTTTTTCAAGAACATGCACAGGCCGAAAAGCATTTTCTTATCGAGGAGCAAAATTATGGACTAAGCTGAATAAGGAAACTAAATTGGCACCGTCCCTGGCTATCTTTAAAAAATATAAGAGGGACATTTCATTTTTATATTTAGTTTTATTATGCTCTTTTGATTTTAACTTATTGTACATTGTTATTCTCTTTAATTTAGGCTTTTCTGTTTTTGCACAGGTCGATTTGTAAAACAGTTATTTTGTTACTGAAATCTGTAAACCTGTATAAATATTTAAAAGCAAATGAAAATGAAAGTGAAAATGAATGAAAAAAAATTGTAAAACCAAGAAAAATATTTTAAGGTGAAATAACTTCTCATCTGTATAAAAACTCAAGCTTATAGTTATAAACTAGAGATTTGGAGATACACTTAAGCATAAAGGGCCCCGTAAATGGGGTGCGTGGAATTCGAAAGGAACAAAGGTCAAACGGAAGATGATCCGCTAGAATAGATACCGTGAATTCAAGAATTGCCCTGGGGGCTTATTAATTAGACAGTTTTTAGATGGGGGCATATTTTTTTGGAGTCTGTACGAGAAGGTGCTTATAAAATCAGAAGCGAATTGGCCCGGGTGGCCCGGGTCGATGTGGCTGTTTAAGGGGTTGAAGTAGACTTCTTTTATAGTGACTCCGCGTAAGTCACATAACATTTTTTTGTAAACATAAAAAGTTGTCTAGTTAAGCCCGGTTTCAAGTCATGCTCTGCTTACAGTTACTACGTTTCATGCAACATTTAGTGTGGTTTTAAAAGTCTTTTGTAGAATAAAAAGATTCCCAAAAAGCAAAGAGATGTAGCGAGATCTAGCTGCACTTTTAGCCTTGAAACTTAAAAAAATCGAAGAATCATTTCATTTCATTTAATCATATAAAACCACGATATCCATTCAGTTCTATAAAAGTAAATTACAATAAAAAATTTGCAATTACTTTCTAATTAAATTAAGAGCACCGGCCCTGTTAAATCATTAGAACTGCCCCTAAAGTTGATCATCAACGGATTCGTGCATCTAGTGTCTGTTAGTTCAAAAGGTGATTTTTAAGCCTTTTTTTGAATCGTCCAATCGGTATCTCTTATAGGTTGTAGGATACTATTCCAAGCTTTTGGACCTGTGTACAAGAACCTTTTTTGGCATGTTCTAATTTTAATTTTTGTACATGGATGTTTCTTGATGTTTCTCGTGTTATATTTTGATATGACAGACCTTTTTATGAATTTATTTTGTAGGCCTTCAGGACAAAGCTCCAGCATAGCGAAAGTTGACAGAAGAACTCTCCAAGAAGTGCTTTTGTTCAGGCACGGTGCCACTGGTAGGCTGGGAGGGGGGGTGCTCAAGCTCCCCCACTTCTTTAGGGACAAAAATGTTTGACGGTAACTTTTAAAATTTTTATAAACTGAGTATAAAATAAAAATAGAGCAAACAGTTTCTATACTGATTGATTGATACTGATTGTTTCTATACCGTAGATAACGTTCTGTATCATTTAATTGTCTGCATTGTGGATGTGTAAACATGGCCTACTCAAAATGCTCAAGATAAAATAGATGCACATTTCTTTTCAGGAAAGAAAATGTTCAATTATTCCCGTAAAAAAGCTGCAGATTCCTTTGTTAAGGATTAGGACGGCATGAAAACTAAACTACCAGGTGGGTCTCAAAACTATAATCAAGAAAGTTGATATAAACTGTCTTTTCTTATTAGCGCTTCCCTTCATCGTTCTCCTTTCTTTCCCTCATTAGACATACTTGGTTTTGTGTCTTCAAATTGCCTATTTTCCGTGAATTGCAACATTTGCACCTACTCTCTTGACGCGGTGAGGGGGGGGGGGGGTGTTGGCTACCTACAACCTTCGGACAGACTTGCCCTATCTCGTTTTTCTAACGATTGCATCATCTATTCCCCCTGTAGTCAAACTAATTTGCTTACAAATAAGTCACATGGATGTACTTAATTGTTCTGCAGTAACAAGAAAGCCTCCAAATGCATTGCTGCCTGACTCATAAGCTTTGAAGAAAATAATTACCTTCCTGTCATCATCAAGTGAAACATTTGTCAGGACAGATATATCTGGTAATCACAATTAAATTTTTAGATAAAATCAGAATTGTGAAAATCTATCAATATGAACGGATTTGCCAGTTGACATAAACTTGGACACATAAATAAAAATGGGGTGACCCGCATCATCCAATAGTTCCGCTTGAAGACACGTAGATTCACATTTCTGCTTGAATCTATACTTTATAAGTTTATAAGATTTGCTCGGAACTGAGCCCGAACAATTTTTTTCTTCACGCTGGTGCTGCTGCTAACTGCCTCTGTTTTAGAAGATGTCACCAGCATAACAAAACAGCACTTTTTCTATTTCCAACTTTTGGGTGTTAAAAGCGTTCCAACTGCCTAAAAAAGGAACTGAAAAATCTATTTCTTGTTCAAAAGTGGAAATAATTTTGGGTGTTTCAGGTCCTTTTTTAGGCCCTGGAGTCCAAAGTTTGCTTACGTGTTACGTCACGAATGGCAGAATTACATTTTGGTGTTCAACAGGATTCTTGTCTTGGACCTTTTCTATTAATAATTTGAATCAACGAGTTTCCGTTCGTTCTAAAAAGCTACCAGTTAAACGGGATCTCTTCTTCTATAAAGAGTATCAACAACTTCAACAGGACGCTAAAAAGCACTTTTTCTATTAGAAAAATCTACAAACTTTCCTCTGTCTCTTTTGTTCAGTCTTAACAAAATCCTTTCGATTATGTTTAGGCATATCTATGTAGATGACATTGGCTGAATCAACGTACAGTTTCTGCAAATCACAGTAGAACATAAATGTATTTTCGATTGTAGGGATAAAGCTAGATCAACATTAAAGGGCTTCATTTTCATTGATCTTTGCAATTATTTTGAATTCGATTTAGCTTTTAGAATTGTAGAGGAATATCACGTAACTGCTTTAATACTCTATCGATGGGTTTTGATTTAAGAATGGAATTTGGTTACCACTTATTCACCCCAAAGTTGATTCATCAGTAATACTGACTCTTGACTAAACATTTTTGCCGCTTACATAACAAATGTCGTTGAAACGTTAACTGCAGGGATCGTAGACGCCGATCAGTCCGTAGACGTTGATCAGTCCGTAGACGCCGATCAGTCATATCACATTTTTTTTGTTAAATTTGTTTACCTTAATTAGCCTTTGGAGCCATACACTTTTTGGCTACTTTAAACCAAAGAATAAATAATTATCATAATATAGTAACCTATTATTCACAGTCCTTGATTGTTTGATTCACATTGCAGCTGGACAATTCCTACCAAACGGCTGTAGCATACCTTACGGACTGCCATTCCCATACAAGAGAACTTTCACTTCTTATTGCAACCAACACCATTACTGCTACCACTACGTAAGTGAAAATTCCTCACCAGTCATTTAAACTGTGGTTACTCTATGAGGGCTTGTATGCAATTCCGCATTTCAAAAATTTTTCAAAATACCGCTTTGAACTAAAGCATTGTTGTTGCTGTTGTTGTTGTGGCTATTGCCTTTGGACCTTTGCGACATATTATATCTTTTGGTTTGTTTAAAGGTGGACTGACACACAAAACTATTTTTTTATATATGGTAGAAGACGATTTGACGTTAATTATTATTTTCCGTTTTGACGCAATTCCGCTCTAAATGTCATGAAATTATCGTCGAGTGCTCGACCATTGTCGGTATTTCATGTGACCCAGTGCGTGTAACGTCACAAACACCATGTTTTTATTCCTTGAATGGAAATCACGCACGGACTGGACAGTTCAGCTGATCCTGTTTAGTTACCATTCGAGGAGATCTACGTAGCCTTTGATCCAAGATACATCAAAATTCGAGGTTAATGAAATGTACTAAGTATATGTGCTGGCTGGTACTGCGTTATATTAGGAGGGAATTTATATTTGGAAGGAATAGGCACTTTTAGCTGCTCGAAGAAATTCTCAATTCTGAAGTCAATCATGCGGACGAATGTGGCGAATGTAAGAATCTTTTCATTTTATCATGAATCTAGCTTTTTTTCGAAAAAAATTCAAAATCTTATTACTTCGATAGATTATTTCTACATCCGTATAAATCATGAACGTAATTTTATTTTAGGTTTGCAAACTCATCGGTTCCCCCGAGTTACTTGTGTGCAGTGGCCTGGGAGTTGAAAATTTTGCTAAGTTGTTTTCTTGCAAATAACGACTCGATCGTACCAGGTTCTTAACCCCCTTGAAATCTTCCATGTGATTGAATAAAAAATATGCTGAAAATTAGTGACTTAAATTCGAAATCTTTACTGCGTATATTGAAGTTAATCAGAATCAAAGACCGAGATTAACTTATTTTTTGGGGAGGGAGGGGCAGCCCTGATAAATTAGTCTAACAGCAGCCGTATTTATCAAAATAAAAAGGTTTTACTTGGGTTTCTAGAAAATAAAAAATCCTGCCAATATATTTATCGCTACCATTATATGATATGTTGGCCCGCCGGACACTGGGTCCTGCAAGACGGACGAAGGGCCTCAAACGCGTTGAATACAGGGGCAGACTGGCCGGTCGGGCTACCGGGCGATGGCCCTGTGGGCCCTCTCAAAATTATCTTAATTTTGCAATTAAATGAAAACTCTAATTGTTTGGTAGGGGCCCTCTTCTGTTTTCATAGCACCGAGACTCTCTCAAGATCAGTGGATACAGAATGAATAAAAAAATAAATTTGTGGTGTTTAAGTACTGAAAAAGCATTTTTCAAAATTTTGGGCCCCATGGAAAGAAGGAGAATCCTGGGCCCAAGCCTCACTGTCCCTAATGCAATAATACAATACTTAACTGGAAGTTCCAAAATCTGATAAATGCTCTCTTCGGGCCCTCAGTTTCAATGTTGTCATTAAATCATAGGTTAATGGTGGTAAGGACATGACAATTTCTAGGAAGGTACATTATTTTAATGCTAACCAAATAGTTTTGGGAGTATAGATCAAAAGAGCAGAAGGGCTCAACCCCCACAGCTCTGACAAATTTTTGCTCCAGTACATCAATACTTTGCTCCAGTATAAAACATGAATGATTTGCCAAAAATCTTAGGCATAAAACTTCGGTACTTACGCCAAATTTTGGTGTAATTCTTCGGAAAAATTTTGGCATAACTCAATTGGCGTGCCCTGACTGTACTAGTTGTTTATTCGAAAATTTGCTGACGTGGCGAAAACTATGCGAGATTTTCCCTGACGAACTTTGCAAAATAACAGGCCCGTAAACACTGGGGGCAGGGAGCAATGCCCCCTCCCATTAATTGACGAAAATTGTATGAAGATCTTATAAGCGCAGCTTGATTTGGCAGTATTTCGTAAGGCAGGTAAAGAAAAAGCTATATTTTTATCCAGGCCCCCCTCTCCCAATCCAGTTTAGCAGTCTACGGGCCTGCATAAAAATGAATAAGTTTCAAATGTCTTCCATTGTAAACTAAACAAGAAAAAGAAACGAGATACAGCTGGAAGACTGAGATGCATTTCAAGTTTTATGCTCATAGAAATGTAGACATGAATTGATATCTTAACATAGAAAGGAATGACTCGTTATTCTTGAATGTTTCTTACTGACAACATTCATTTACTGTCTTCAATAGAAAAGACAGAGTTTTTTAAAATTGCATTTAGAAATTTGTTCAAAGTTACGTGTGTCGGAAATGCTGGGCTTATCGCTTAAAGTTGAAAATAAGACCTTGGCTTTTTGGTAATTGGAAACTATCAGGGGATTGGGAATTATTGTAAATGAAAGCTTACATGTATTGCCTAGGATCTTCTTTTCGACAAACTTGATGTGGCAAGTATTCTAGGTGTATTTCTGGCCATCCCTATAATGTCATATTTCGAAATTTTTTCTTGAGTTTGGCCAGATTTTTTAATCATTGTAGTGGCCTTTATTGCGCCCCTGAACAATCTAAACATACCGCCCCTCCCCCCCACTTTCTTTAACGTTTCTTCAGCCCTGTCCAGGGACCGCGCACCAGTCTAAATGTGGGAAGGCTGAAAAGGGCGTTTCCAAAATGTCTTCGAACCTATTATTGCAAAATGTGGAGGGGCTATGTGGAGGGGCTATAGCCCCTGCTAGCCCAATGGCAGCGCGGTGCCTGGCCCTGCCTATGTTACTGATGTTACCATCTTGGTTGCTTTGCAAACATTTAATTAACCTGGCTGCCCAACCAATGATCGGAAAACATCAACCCCTATTATGTTTTGATTGGAAAATTACATGTCAAATTTTTTTGAATAGCTTAGATCTTTCTTGAATAACTTAGATATTTCATTAAGTTCTACCCTGGGTACCAGAGCCTCAGTGATCGAAAAGGTGACCCTTCTAAATACCATTCGCCATTTTTTATCACTGAGGCCCCCCTTTGAAAGTCCTTCAGCTAGAAAGTAATAGCCCCCCCCCCTGCAATGTCATGGTTTTCTCTCATATCTTATCCTACGTCAGAATTAAAGTCCCAGGGAAAATGATGCTGACCTGGACTAAGGATTGTAGATCCACTCTGAAAATTATTTACCAATACGCCTACATCGCTGGTTGTTACTAATTAGAATTAATAACAATATTCCAATAGATTTTAACCAGTATAAAAAAGTGATGCAACAAACAATTTAGGGGATACCCGTAAACTTATCATTGACTTTCGGGGCCCTTTCTCGACAACTTGACCCGGGCCCTAAATTTGGAGCCAGTCCGCCCCTGGTTGAATAATACGATATTCTTGCAAATCTTGTAAAAGAATCATAATCTGTTTTCCAATCAGGTTGTCGAAATGGAGCCAAAACCTACTCAATTAATGTATCGATGCTCATCTGCAAAATCATAAAAGTACGGCCTTCCACACTGTCGTGTTGCTCAAGTGATGTGAACATGGTGTTTGTGACGTCACGATTATGCGGAAGGCTCGGGCAAACTCGTCCGTGCTCGGAAAATGTTCAGTGACTAACTTTGACGCTCAATAACTCAAAAACTGTGTTGAGTATTAAAAAATTATAATGTATCAGGTATTTATACTCGATATGCTTTTATTTGAAGTCTAGTTTATTTTGCGTGTCAGTTCACCTTTAAGGGCATTTAAGTCAATAAGGCATAGACGCAGTGGCAAGGGGGCACAGGGGGTATTTTTTTTCATTTTTTCAGAAAATGGGGGTGCCTCTCTTTGCCTTCCTGTACCCTCTACTTTTGAAATGCTTCTTACGTCATGCAATAACAGTGCCAATTTTTAGCAACTACTGTTATTTAGCGAATGTATCTGCAATCCACAGTTACGTTGATCTATTTCCGCCTCTCTTTGCCTTCCTGTACCCTCTACTTTTAAAATGCTTCTTACGTCATGCAATAACAGTGCCAATTTTTAGCAACTACTGTTATTTAGCGAATGTATCTGCAATCCACAGTTACCTTGATCTATTTCCGCACTCAGAGACTGGTTCAAAGTGGCATACTAAAATATGCAAAAATCTGAAAAAATACTGCAGGAAAATAAAGGTAAACCTGGATGTAATTTCAATGGTGATGCTATAATATACAGCAGAGGGAACTACAAGAAAATAGAACTGGTATTGACAGCATTTAGTATAAATTGTAAAACAGCTGTTTGAGAAATCAGTATGCTCTTCTTTAAAAGAAGAAACTACGTAAGCAATATATTAATGACAATTTTTCTTAATTCTTTAATTAATATTGCTTAGGATGGTCGTGTTTGCCCCGGCAATCCTTGCCACAATGCTTGTCCATACATGCGCTCGCTAAATGCAAATAATTTTTCATTCCTTTCTTAATTTCAAGCCTTTAATTTTTTAGGAACGATCTTCAAGGCTGGGATGTGACCAGGTATTTTACCGCAATATGCTGAGAAAGTGCAAGCAACGCGCTTGTAGCATTTTCGCTTTCCATGACTGCGTGAAATACGCGAGTGTCTACTATGCCGCAGTAAGAGCTGGAGGTGGCTCACATTATGGATGACATGTAAAAGCTGTATCTATCTGCAAGATAACGTTTAAATTTGACCTGCTTTAAACGATTTTGTTCCTATTTTCTTCTCAGCAGTTATTATTCAGTTAAAAATTGATATTGTAGCTCAAAACCTTTAAAAGTTGTCAATATACTCTGCACCTGTGTATGATAGAGATGCTTTTAAAAATTTCGTTGCTAATGGCAAAGCATAACTTCAACAGATTCCAGAATTTGTATCCAGGGCCGTCGAGTAGCAGCTCGGGCCCAGGGGTGATTCACAAAACTGTACCCCCTTCGGAAACTTTCCTTTGGCCACACCCTCCAGTCTCTCAGAGAACAAGGGAAACGCCCGTTTTAGGTACAACCGTTGAAAAAGTTTTTTAAGGGTTTTTACAAGAATGTGCACAAACATTTTACATGAATGAAGGACTTGTGGACACTTCTCTGCAACAAACTTACAGGCATTGATTCCGTATAAGTAGCTAAAATAGTACCTTTTTTGCATTGTAAATAGACCTTGTAATTAGTAACAAAGTAACTATAACAGGCTCCATCAGAGCACGGGCCCCGGACCTTTTGCCCCTCCTAACCCCCCCCCCCCCCCATCTTTACCGTCCTGTTTTATCCATTGGCTGAGGAAAATTTTACTAGATAGTTTAACCGCTAATTTTCTACAATCTCAAAACTGCATTTGCTGTTATTAAATTTTCTAACTCGGGAATGAAATACCAATACAAAATAAAGGGCATAAAACTCCCTCAGAAAAACATGCAAAATATATCAGAAGGTGAGTCATTAGTCTACCTTCCCACATCATCGAAAATAAGTTGGGCCGTTAGAACATTGATGCAAATCGCTCAACTTGCCATAAATTTCTAACAGGAAGGGGTTACTAATGGAAGTTACAAAAAAACTCCCAAATCTGACTAATGAGTGGAAGGAAATGGGTAGGAAACACCTCTTTCCTCCACTAATAGCCGATGCACCATTTCTACCTAATAGCATCAAAATTGCTAAAGAGTATAAATGATAAAGGTACAAGGGGCGTAAAGAAGCAAAGAAAAAGAAACAAAATGAGGAAGGGAGGGCTGGGAAAATAAACAGCCTACTTTATAGGGCTTCACCAAGGAAGTTGAGACCCACTCTATACCAAAACCTTAAATTCCCTAGATTAACCAAGAGAATAAAAACTGAACGAAACACGCATCTGACCCTAGTCTACAAATCAAATCCTCAGGAGGACGAGAGATTCCACATTGCCCATAATCTGGTAGAGCAGGTACAAGAAAATGAAGGGTGAAAATGAAGACAAGAGGAAGAGTGACACAAGAGACCATAACGAATAGGAAATGATAACAATCTCAAGCGAATTAGTTAAAGCTCAAAAGCTCCTCATGAATAAAATCTGATTTAGTTTCATTTTTAAAACCGTCATGAAGCAAACTAATAAGTAAATTTGCCGAATATTTCTTCCTGCTTTAAATTTATGGCTGCCTTGTTTTGGTCAAGTTTCACCAAACACAATAGCAAATGAAAGCCTATATTTTCATTTCTATCAAATACTCGAATATTCTGGTGATTTGAAATATCAATATTATGAGATAAGATATCAATCATGCTATCAATAGGACCGAGTACTGTAGAATATACAGGGTATTGCAGAAAAAAGACAGTTCGGATCACAAAACGAAAAATTAGAAAAACCGTGAGTGCCGTGAAACCATTATAAAGACAATGAAGAGGCCTCTACTACAATCAACGCCAAAAGTCTTGGAACACTAACGTAGGCTTTCAAAGGCAAGTTCAACCACCCCCTTCTCCCCCTAGGACCAATGTTGATCTACTATGGAAAAAAGAAAGGGGTTATGGATTATGCTTTTTCTTGTGGCTTGTTTGATATTTTTCTACACTTTCAACATTGTTTTGGGGGAAAGGGGGACGGAAGTAGTAGTATTCGGGAAGGCAAATGCAAAATAGAAAAGCACAGCGCAAAGTATTGTAGGTAGCGAGCGAGAATTAAAAGTTTCGCTAACGAGGCAAATTTTTCACGTGCAATAATTGTGGTTCAGATATCAAACTGTAACATGGGAAGGGTTGTCAAGGGACAACAACCTTCAATTTGTTTATTATTATTCGCTCTTCCTTTGTTTCCTTTTGATTAATGCACGCGCGAACTAACGCTCACTTCCAGCCTTTTGTTGTTTTGCTTGTTGCTTTTAACCGAATATGGAATGTTCTTGAACCCAGTCTTCATAACAGTTTATGCTGTGCACACGTTCTTTGGGCGCTGCATTGGCATATCATTGAAGTAAAGCCACGCAAAGTTAGAAGTTGAAAGACGCGTAGGGCGTTCCTCGAAAGCAAAATAAGTTCGCTTCCATTAAGCAAAACGTGATGGACAAGAAGGTGTGGTTTTGGAAGCAAATGGACTGTGAGTGATTTCTTGTTCTTAATCATATTATCTTTTATTCTTAAAAGACATTGAGTATCGCTTGTTCGGTCCAACCTATTGCATGTGAACTATTTTTTTCGCCTAATTACTGTTTATTTGTATTTAATTTTTTTGAAGCAAACCCCATTTTGTGTTCTATCACATTGCGTTGGATTTTGTGTTACCTACTGATGGGACGCAGGGTAGGTTTTAACTGTAGCCATATTCGGTGCCACGAAAGCAATGAATAAATTCCTTTAAGGCCTATTGAATATTTTGAAAATGAATGCACTGATTTTTGCTGTCTCTTGCAGCAACGCAATATACTACAGTTTCATATGCCTTTCAGCATGTGGTGGGCCAACCTTTGAAATTTTTGGTAACTTAGGGGGTATTTTCAATGGATAAACTTGGTAAAAAAATTTTTCGCAATTACTCAGAATTTCATCATGACAAATTATCGTCGTGGATTTTTAGTACAACAGAGCTAGCAATATACTTCTTAAATTCTTAATGGCAAAACTTTTTGCTTAACAGTCCTTTTTTGGTATTGAAGTCGTAGATACTTGAGACCTTGATAAAAAAGACATTCTAAAGCCTTTTTCGTCAATTCCATTCAATAAAAGCTTTCAAAATAACAAGTTGGAAAAAATAAAGGAAATTGTTGATGGAAGTAGGCCAATCAGAAAAATGCAAGCACATGTCCGGTATAGTTGTCAAATCAGTACCGCGTACCTATCACAACTAGATTCCAAGAGAGAAAACAAACTTCTTCTTTCTACACAATACCCGCGTTTTCGTTAGTATAGTACAGTGGAATACAGGACCGTGCAGGGCCTATTTAAAGAAATCTTCAATACTGCACATTTTTAAAAAATTTTAAATACTGCACATTTATAATCATATTTTTTTATAGAAAATTGTTTTGTTGCAATCAGTGGAAACCCTTGCAAACCCCAGGTATCTTAGCCATGCAAGCGTAGCGAGGAAATTGCCCGAATTTTGAACACGTGTATAGGCCACGACGGAGAAATCACAAACAGATAGACGATAATATACACAATCAATAATAATATTTCAAAACAGCAACAAAACAAACAGAAGCTACAAAACCTGAATAGAAACATAGTCATTATAAACTCTTGTAAACGGAGTCACTATCAAATGTTTTGTCTGGAAAGTAAAACAAAAAATTTTTATTAGGCTAGATGCCCAGAGCATCATAGGGCAACTGATAAATTATTACTGAATGTTTTATCTTCGACAAGATCAAATTACGAAATTTACAGCAATGCTGACATTAACAGGGGATGTTTTGTTTTTGGTTTTGGCCATTTCGCTTTGTTTTAAGTTTTGATAAGAGAGTCTTTCCGATGGTTATACGAGAATTACAGTACATGAACTCTATATCGAAGTGACGAGGACAATTCTCATTTTGTGAACAAAGTAGGAATCTGGGATAGCCGCAAAAAGACATTTTCACAGATCCGAAAATTCAATACTGCACATTTTCGAAATAAATACTGCACGTTTTTAAATTAATACTGCACAAAGTGTGTAATACTGCACAATAAAATAGTACCTGGGACCGTGTATAACGAACCCTGAATATAATAAACTTCCGAGTATGAAGAACTAAACTTCTTGGTCACTTGGATTCTACAAATTCTCTCGGTATAACGAAACCTGGATTTAAGGAACTATCGCTATTACGAACATAGCTACCCTTAATATAAGGAAATTTTCATATATATTTCATCTTATATTTTTTTTATTTATTCCTAGTGCTAATTTATGAGTTTATCTCGGAGGAAATCATAACTGTCATTAAACATATATGAGTTCAGCTTGTTTGTTTTGAACAAAATCTGCACAGAAGTTGAGATAGCCATAGTTTTCCTCCCTGTTTAACGAACTCGCGTGCAAGAAACCATTTTCTGGTTCCCTTTAGGGTTATGTTGGGATTACAAAATTGTTAGATGAAAAGACAACTCGGCATTGCCAATATTTTGGTACAATCTGGATTGCCTAAAGGTGTTGTCCGATTGGAAAATCACAATGTTGTTTCTAGAACTACAATATCAAAAGGGCTGTTCTCTTTCAGGGGTAGTTTTGTTTCTTATGTTGGAGGAACATATTGATTTACCCTATCCCCCCATCTTTGGGACTGGCTTCCAACGTAGCAAGTATTACACTAGCTCCTAAATTCATAAACAACAGAACTCTTTTGGGTGATAGGGATAGTTCTCAAACTCCTGAAAAGTGAAAGTTTTATGTTGACAAATTTTTGTCTCATTTAGAAATAAATCGAAGAACAACTCGCAGAAAAAAATTGTTCTCAATCTCTCGCGAAGATAGTTTGTTGTTGTTAATGTAAACCTGTTCAAGAATATTCGGCCAAAAATGACGCCTTGTTGGCAGAGGAATCCCGGATAGTCGGAGTATTAAGCGCAAACTATCTCACCCATGTCCGGGGGCTCATAACTATTCCGTCAAAACTTCTAGTAAATGTTCCTGCGATTCGACTGGCCTCGCATTGAAAAAAATGGCGGGAACTCTATCCAGAGCGGGGTTTCGACACAAGGGTACACGAGGCGTTGGTGTAGAGTGCTTGGTGCAAGTGCAAATGGGTGCAAGAGTGGCAAATGCAGAAGGGTGATGCTGCAGTAAACCAAGGCTCGTAGACTACTCCGAAAAGACAAAATTCGTTGCATAT